GTGTGGTGGCCATGCCAGGGTCCCTCCCAGTGTCCCTGGAGCTGGCTGGTGGTCATGGTGGCCACAGTACAGTGGCCGTGCTGGGGACCCTCCTGGTGACCCTGGGGCTAGATGGTGGCCACAGTGACTGCAGTATGGTGCCACAGTCCTGGTGTCCCTGGGGCTCAGAAGATGGCCAGTGGCCACAGTGTGATGGCTATGCCTGGGTCCTTCCCTGGTGTCCCTAGGGCTTGATGGGTGGCCAGTGGCCACAGTGGCCACAGGGCAGAGGTCATGCTGGAGTCCCTATGTCCCTGGGGTTTAAGGGCTGTCCAGTGTCCTCAGTGTGGTGGCCATGGTGGCACAGTATGGTGTCCATGCCATGGTCCCTCCCAGTGTCCCCAGGGCTCAGGGGCTGGCTGCAGTGTGGTGGCAGGGTCAGAGGCCCTCCCAGTGTCCCTGGGGCTCTGGGGGTGGCTGTGGTGTGGTGGCCAATGGCCACAGTATGGTTGCCATGCTGGATCTCTCCCAGTGTCCCTGGGGCTCAAGGGGTGGCTGGTAGCTGTGGTTTGATGGCCATGCTGGGTCCCTCCTGATGTTCCTGGGCTGGCTGGTGGCCACAGTGGCCACAGCGTGGTGGCCATGCCGCAGTCCCTTCTGCTGTCCCTAGGGCTTGGAGGGTGGCTTGTGGCTGCAGTTTGGTGGCCGTGCTGGATCCCTCCCACTGTCCCTAGGCTGGCTGGTGGCCACAGTGGCCGCAGCATGGTGGCCATGCCGCAGTCCCTTCTGCTGTCCCTAGGGCTTGGGGGGGTGGCTTGTGGCTGCAGTGTGGTGGCCGTGCTGGGTCCCTCCTGGTCCCCAAGGATGGCCGGTGGCTGCAGTGCGACGGCCATTCCTGGCAGGACTGGGGGCTGCTGTGGCCATGCAGAGCTGAGGCTGAGGCCTGGCACTGCTGCTTGGCACCATGCCAGGGGCTCCTGCCAGCACCCCCAGCCTGTGGTAATGGTGCCAGTGGGGGAATCAGGGGGCTGTGGGGCAACCCTGCCCCCCTCAAGGACAGAAGCACCCATCGCACTACTGTCAGAAGGGATCTGCATCCCTGCCCTGGGCAGAACTGGACTGGTGCCCCAGTCCCTGGGGATGGGCCCCAGTGGCAGGGGGGAGGGGGATGGGTGAGCATGGGGGTCTGTACTGGATGGAGGGTATTGGTCATGGAGGGGCTGCTGTGTGTGCTGGATAGTGGGTGAGGGGTCTATGCTGGTGGAGGGGCCGTATTGGTGGGGCCGGAGGAGCTGTTCTTTTGGGGGGTCTATGCTGATGTGGGGATCTCTGCTGTAATGAGGGGTCTGGGCGGGCCGTGCTGCTGGGGCTCTGGGCCGTGCTGAGGGGGCTGCGGGGCCTGTCCCAACCGACGTGTGTGCGTGTGGGGGGGCGGTGTCGGTGCCGCAGGGGCGGGGGGCTGCGGCGGGGGCGGGGGCGAGGCGGGGCCGGGGCCGGGGGCGGGACGGACCCGCCCCGGGGCTGCGGGACCGGCCGGCAGCGTGTGGGAGCAGGGGCGGCCATGGAGGGGGCGCGGGGCATCCACCACGAGATCGCCTCCCTCAAAGGTACCGGGGTGAGGGGACACGGGGGGAGTCCCAGGGCCAAGCCCAAGGGGACCAGCGGGGGCTCCGCGAGCCGGGGAGGGTTCCGCGTCCCGGGAGGCTCCAGTCGCGCTGCATCCCTCCTGTGCGTGTGTCGCAGCGCGGACAGGAGAGCGGGTGTCACTGGGCCATCACCGGCATCACGCAGTGTTACCCGGTGTCACAAGCATCACTCGCTATCACGGAGGCCCTGCCAGGCACCACCGGGCCGGGCTCCGGGGCACTGCCGTGTTACCGTGCCGCGTTAACGTGCCGTGTTACCATGAGAGTGCCGGGCCGTGTTACCACGCCGCGCCGCAGAGCCGGGGCGCTGGGGCGTGAGTAACGGGCTCCGGTGGATGCCGGTCACGGGGCTGCTGGCGGCCACTGGCTCCTGTGTCACCGCAGCGGGCAGAGAGCCACCGCGGGCCCGGCACCCGGCACCGCAGCGAGCCACCGAGCCGGGGTCGGGCTGGAACGGAGCCCGGTGAGGGTGAGGGTGGACTACGCGAGGGTGAGGATGGACCCGGCGAGGGTAGGGATGGACCCCGGGAAGGTGGGGATGGACCCAGCGAGGGTGGGGATGGACCCGGCGAGGGTAGGGATGGACCCCGGGAGAATCGGGATGGGATGGACCCCGGGAGAGTCGTGGCACCCGACAGCCGCGGCGGAGCCGCAGGCCCCGCGGGGGGGATGCCAGGCGATGTCCGCTCCCGCAGAGCCGGGGCTGCTATGAGGTTGATTTATGGTGAGAACCGTCGGAACCACGGGACACCCGCCGGCACCGGGACCTACGCCAGTGCTGGGACCCCCGCCGGCCCCGGCCTCATTAAGAGCCGGTCTCTGGCCGCGGTGCCCTCCGCAAACAGCCGCGGCTTTGTTCCGCTGGCCATGGGGAGCCCTGCGGCCTCGCCAGACCCCGGCACTGGCACCGGCACCGGTGCTGGCTCCGGGAGGGCAGCGCCGGGCCCGTGGCCAGGAGCCACTGCCCGCCCCAGATCTGGGGGGCTGCCCCCGCTGGGCTGCCCGAGGGCGCCGTGGGCCGGAGGCTCGGGGGGCACGGGGCGTGCACAGGATTGCATGGGGGTGCCCCCAGTGCCGCGTGCCGGCAGCCGATGTCCCCTGCCCCCCCTGAGGTGCGACGCTGTCGGGACGCGGAGCTGTGGGGCCGGTGCGGGGGCGCTGGCAGCGTGGAGCAGAGCGTGAGGGACTCTTTCCCAGTGGGTGCAGAGGGGTGCCGGCACCCTGCCCGGAGCGGGGCAGCGGTGGGACGCTGGCGATGGCCTCACTGTCACATCGCGTTGGATCACGGCGGGCGGCGGGCGCTGACGCGGCACTTCCCAGTGGCAGCCGCCGGCGCGGCCGTGACCCCGTTGCGGGCAGGGGGTGCGGGGCCACGGCTGGGGGGGACACGCTCCTGCTGCCCCCCATTGCTGCCCCCCATCACTTCCCCAACAATCCCTCATCTCTGCCTCAGAACACTCCCACATCTCTGCCCCATTCCTGCCTTCCATCACTGCCCCATCTCAGCCCTCTATCACTCCCCCCATCATTCACCCCCATCTCTGCCTCTCATCACTCCCCCAGCACTCCTCCCATCACTGCCCCATCTCTGTTCCCCATCATTTCCCCAACACTCTCCTATTGCTGCACCATCTCTGTTCCACCCGTCTCTGCCCCCTCTTGCTGCCCCCTTGCTTTCCCCATCTATTCCCTGCTGGGGTTCTGGGGTACCATGGGGCTGGGGGGGTGCTCTGTGGTGCCAGACATGCTTGTGGGGGTTCAGGCAGTTGATTGATGCTCTTCCAGGGGATTCCATTTGGGGAGATGGGCACCCCAGTGTCCCTGGTGCCCCTGGCCACTGCACCAGCTGTAGCAGGGGTGCCCGGTGTTGAGGGCCCTCAGCAACGGGGGTCCTGTTCCCCCACCCTCCTTTGGCCCCCGGGATCGGGAGTTGAGGAAGTTGCACAAGTCTTTGTAGGCCCCCTCCTCCATGATGCCAGCGTGGTTGCATCACCCATCTGTGAGTTTGGTGTCCCTGTGGCCTGTCAGCTCTGGGGTGGGCCATGCTCAGGTCACTGCTCCCCCGCCAGTAAGTCCCAGTGAACCCCATTTGCCAGTCCCAGTAGTGCCGTTGGCAGGGACTGAGGTGCCAGGGATGGTGTTCTCAAGGACCACAGCATTCCCCCCTCCCCCCCCATGCCAGGGGGCTCCTGCAGTCTTGTACTGTCCCTGTGCCCCAGCCTCAGCATGCTGGGCCAGAGGAGCCCTGGGGGGGTTAATCCCCTTTTGGGGGCTGTGGGGCTGGGATCTCCCTGGCATGGGGCAGCCCCCAGCAGGGGGAACCCCTGGCACCTCAGTTCGTCCCAGAGTCCCTCCTGCTCCATGATGTGAGTGCTGACACTCACTCCTACCTCACACGGAGCCTGGGTGTGCCCATGGGGGGTCCCCAGTGCCGAATCTCTTCCCACGATGGAGCTTGGGGGTCCCACTGCTGTGCCAAGGGCCGTGCCAGGTGGCGCTGAGGGGGTGTTGGGCAGTTGTCCTTGCCGGGGGGGGGCTCAGAGGGTGGCTGCAGGGGGCAGCTGCCTCGTCCCCATCTGCCACCCGGGGGGCGTGGTGGGGGACAGCTGTGCCACTGCCACGCCTGTGTCACTGCTGGGGAATATGGGGGCGATGTGGGATCCCCCTGGGGCTGCTCCCCTGGTATAAACAGGGGCAGGAGCAGAGCAAACATCGACGTGGCAGGATGTGGCCGCCCAGCCCTGCCTGTGCCCCTGCCTATACGCCTGACCGTCCCCCTGCCCGACCCCTACCTGCAGCTCTGCCTGCAGCCCGGTGGTGCGCGATGCTCGGGCGGGGCGTGGGCGCCACGTCCCCGGCTCAGGGCTCCCCCCGGGCTTAGGGCTCTCCCCCGGGCTCAGGGATCCTCCGGGCTCAGGGTGCTCCCCCCTCCTTGTTCAGAGACCTCCCCGAGCTGAGGGCTGTCCCCGGTCAGGGTCTCCTGGCTCAGGGTCCCCCTCCCGGGCTCAGGGTCCCCCCCGGCTCAGGGTCTCCCTGGGAGCTCCGTGGGGCTGGTCCTGGGGCGGAGGCGGGGCGGGACCCGCAGGGATTCCCACGCAGGAACCGGCCGGGTGGGTCGGGGCGGGGGGGGAGAAGTGGGGGCGGGTCCGGCCATCCCCCCCCCGGGCGGAAGCCGAGGCCGGGGAGGGGCCGGTGGTGAGTCAGGGCTGGGCCTGGGGCCCCCCCGGCCTCCCTGACCCCCCCGAACGGGGGTGGAGCTGCCGCCGTTCCGACTGTGCCGGCAGCCAGCGCTGCGCCGTGCCGGATCGCGCCAGGACGTGCCGGGCCATACTCAGCTGTACTGGACCGTACTGGGCTGTGCCAGGCCATACCGAGACGAACTGGACCGTACTGGGCTGGACTGGACCGTACTGAGCAGTATTGGACTGTACTGGACTGTACTGGATCATACTGGGTTAGGCTGAGCTGGGCCGTACTGGGCTGTACCATACGGAGCTCTACCGGACCATACTGAACAGCGGTGAGGCGTAACTGAGCCCTGTCCCCTGTGCGGTGCCCTCTGCTGTGCCACCCGTGCCATGGTGGCAGGGATGCTGATGCCGCTGGAGCGGCTCCGCTCCATCCTGGAGCTGCTGTTCCGCGAGGGCGTTCTGGTGGGAGAGCGGGACGGGTGCCCCCGGCGCACCCACCCGCAGCTGCCCGGCGTGGCCAATGTGGAGGTTCGGCGCGCCATGGCCTCGCTGCACTCCCGCGGCCTCGTGCGCCAAACGGCTGCCTGGCGACACCTCTACTGGTACCTGACCGACGCTGGCATCGCCCACCTGCGCCAGTACCTGCGCCTGCCGCCCGACGTTGTCCCGCGCTCCCTGCAGCGCATCCCACGCCCCGCCGCCCCACGCCCCGACACCCGCCGTGCAACCACCAGCACTGGCACTGGCACCCACCGGGCACGTCCCACCGGCAGCGACCGGCTCTACCGCAGGAAGGATGAGGGCGAGCAGCACGTGGAGCCCGTCACTGTTGCTGCAGGGCAGGGGGTGTCCCAGCTGTCCCTGCAGCCCAACCTGGCCGCAGGTACTGACCAGAACCCTGGGGTGCCGCCTGTGCTCTTGTGGGTGGGGGCACCTGAGCCCCTCTGCTTCCAGGGATGGCTGTGGCCCCCTGGTGCCCGGCCAAAGATGGGGTGGGGGACACCTGCAACTCCATTGCTGCCTGGGGAAGGAGGAGGGTGCTGGGGGGCTCCTCGCTGTGCCTCCCTGAGCCCACGGGGACCTTGTGGGCTGGAATGGTCCCTGGGCGCTGGGAGGACCGGGGTGCAGTGAGGTGACTCCCTGGGGTCCCCAAGAGGTTGGTGGGGTGCTAGGGACCCTGCATGCTGCAGGAGTGTCACTGCTGCCGCCTCCCCCCCCGGTCTCTCCATGGTGGGGAGGGGACAGTGTCATGGGGAAACTGGGCTGTGGGGGGCCGTGCGTGGGGACTCTGCACCTCCAAGGCCCCCTGCTGTGCCCAGGGTGGGTTGGAGAGACGGCAGCAGCTGGGGCGGGCAGGGCTGGTGGGGAGGGGGCTGCGACTGCGGGGGGTCCCCAACCCCGCCTCCCCCGCGACACGCGATCCCGACACACGATCGGCGGCAGCTGGACCCGGCGGGGGTGCGGGGCGTTCCGTATCCCACACCCCTTCCCCCCCCCCGGGCGGGGCAGCTGCGGCGGCGCCCCGAGGCGGTGGTGAGGGCCCCCCCGCACACCCCGGGCTGTGAGTCAGCCCGTGGCCGTGGGCAGCCGCCGCCGGTCCAAGTTTCCAGCCCGGAGGCGCCGAGCCTGGTCCCTGCCAGCGCCGTGAGTCACCGGCCAGAGGGGGGGCCGGGCCCGCGGCGCTGCTGCCCCGTAGGTGCGGGTCCTGCGCGGGCAGTACCCACGTCCCGCGGGGACAGAGGAGTTCCCCCGAGCTCTGTCCCGTGGGTCGCACCCCGCGTCGGGCTCCGAGGCTGCGGTCGCTGCCCGACCCCCGGGTGGGGCGCGATCCTGCAGCCTCGGCCGTCCCGTCCAGTCCTTCCGTGCCAGCTGATCCGGATCCGGGTTTTCCCTCCGCCCGGCGAGGCGCTGCCGGAAAATCCGGCCTGGATTGCCGGCTGGCGGGGACGGGGTCGCTGCGGCGCGGGGCTGCGGGGTCCCCGCGGGGCAGAGCGGATCCCGGTGCCCCTCCGGCACCCCCTTTTTTCCCCGGCTCGGGGGACGGGGCAGCCTCCTTCATGGCGGGGGCATGCCGGGTCCCTTAGTCCCGGTGTCACGACGTCCCCAGAGGTGGCGGTAGGGTGACCCCTCCCCACCGGTGCTGGGGGGCCCGGGGGTCCCAGGGTGCCGCCGCGGCCGCCCCGTCCCGCCCCCACCCGTGTCATGTTCTAACTCGGGCTCGGTGACGGGCCCTGGTTATTTATATCGGCGCCCGCTCCCTGCCTGCCCCCCCGCCCCCGCCGCCACCGGCGGAGCCGCGCTGTGCCCTCGCTCCGCGCTCCGCACCTGTCCGCACCCTGCTCGCACCTGCCCGCACCCTGCCTTGCCCATGAAGGTCGTACCGGGTGGGTGAGACCGGGGGGACTGCGGAAAGGACGGGGACGGGGGGCTGGCGCCGCCGGGGCGCTTGTCCCGGGATATAAAAAGCCAGGATGGGGGGAACACGACGCGGGGGGGGACACGGCACGGGGAGAACGCGAGGGGGCCGTGCCGGTGCGGCGGGCAGGAGGCGCCTCCGCGTCGCGGCCCGGGAGGGGTTAAGGCGGAGCGGGCGCTGCCCCGGGGGGGCGGGCGCTGGTCCGTCCCTGCCCCGCCGAGCCCAGCCGGTTCCGTGCCCGTCCCGTGTCCCGCATGGAGGACACCGGGTCCCTGTTCCCGTCGCTGGTGGCGGCGGGACATGCAGCATCCCTCGCCCTGGTCTGGTACTGGCGGCGGCGGCGGGACGAGCCGGGGGGCACCGGTGAGTTCGACTCCCCTCAGTCCTCCCCCGGCTCCGCTCGGCTCGGCCCCTCGCCCCGCCCACCCGCCGTGGGGAGGGGGGGTGCGGCACGACACCTGCAGCTCCGCTGCGTCCTGAGTGGGTGGGGGTCCTGAGGGGGGACTCACCGCCCGTGCGGGGAGGGACGAGGGAAGAGACCTACTGCCCTGGGTTCTGGGGAGCTTCACCTGCCATGGGGGAGCATGCCTTGGGGGAGCATCCCGATGGGGGGGCGGGATGCAGCACTAGGTGGTACCCAGAAGTGACTCAGCATTGATGAAGCGTGACATCCCTCCCCCCAGCGATACCATTAGGAGTGGGCAACTCGGCAGCAGCCCCTCAGCGCGGAGGTGGCTGCCCAAACCCTCCCCCTGCATCCCCATCCCGAGATGTGAAGGTGCCTATTATTTTTTGGGAGAGGGATCTGGTGACAGGGGGGCCCGGGAAGGGCCGAGCGGGTGCTGGTGTCTGGGGGTTCCATGAGACCCCCCCACACCCTCTGCCGGCGCGAACCCAGCCACCTGCATCCATCCCTGCGGTCGGGGCGCTGGCAGTGGCCGCGGCCCCCCCTCCCGGTACTTTCCAGGGCGTTGGCTGCGGTTTCCGTAGATCTGTGTTCGGCACTGGGCACAGTCACGCGGCCGCCGCCGTGCCGGGACGGCTCCGCTCCCGCGGCCGCCACGCTGGGAAACCACTGCTGGGCCCACGGCCGGTGGGAGACGCGGAGGCCGCGGCCGCTGCCGGTGCCGGTGCCAGATAAGGCGGGCAGGGCACCTTGGCTGGGCTGGAGCCCTCGCTGCTCCCTGCCGGGGGGGTCGCTGTCCCTGGCGCCGGCCCAGTCCGAAGGGCACCCCCAAGGTCGCACCTGCTGAGGCCCATCATCCCGCCGCGCCGAGCCCCCCCCCACCAGCTGGGGGATGCCAGGAGGCTCCGGCAGTACTGGCCGCTCTCGGTGGTGCCGGGGTCTGCACCTCTGCGATCCCTCGGGGGGATTTCCACCGGTGGTCTCTATGCTGGGTTGCTCCTCGCCAGGGCAGTGGGGTTGTTTGAACATTGTTCCTGGAACCCGTGGAGGGGTCGGGATGGGGATTGCCGGGTGCCAACAAGGGGCTGCCCGGTGCCCGCGGGAGGCTGATCGGTGATCACGACAGGTTGCCTGATACCTGCGAGGGGGCTGCCCAGTACCCATGGGGGCTGCCTGGTGGCCGCAGGGTGCTGCCCGGTGCAATGAGGGGCTGTACCAGGCGCTCTTGGTGGCGGTTTCGGCACATTGTCAGGGCAGATGTTTTCAAGGGACATCACGGCCCAGCCAGAGCTCCTGTCTGTGTCTCTGTCCCCGTGCCTGTGGGGCTGGGGGCCAAAAGGCTGGAGGGGCGGGGGAGCCGTGGCAGAGCTTAGCGGGCTGGTGACGGCGCCGGCTGGTTTTGGCAGCAGGATGCCGCTGTTTGTTTGGCCCCGCTCCGGTTTCCAAGGCTGCCAGAGACGTGGCGGCAGTGGGCGGAGGGGGCCCCCAGAGGTTTGGGAACCCCCCTTTGTCCCCCCTTTCCGCTCCACTCAGCTTTTCCACTGTGCTGGCAGCTCTGGCTGTGCCAGGTCGGGAGGATCGGATGCTGCTGCTGGCCGCAGCCATGACTCACCGGCCTCGAGGGGCCGTGGCTGGCAACCACGGGCATCCCCGGCACGGTCCCCCCGGCACCGCCTCTGGCATCCTTGGGGAGGCTCTTCCTGCTACTGTCCCACATTCTCCATGGTGGAGCCGTGGGAAGCATGTTGGAGCCGTGGGAAGCGTGTCGGAGCCGTGGCAGCGTGCGGGAAGCGTGGCGGGTGCGGCACGCACATCCCGCGGGACACGTGTCCTGTTCCAGGCGGTGTTCCCCGCTCGCCGGGCGCTATCGCTCTGGCTCGGGTTCCCCCTGCTGCCCGCAGCTCCTTATCTCTGCAGCACAGATGGGATGTGGCCACTGCCGTGGGGCTGAGCCGTGGGTCGGCACTGTGCCATGCCGTGATCTGCCGTGCCCAGCCCCCACACCTGGGCCTTGCTGCTGGCCTGGCTCATTCTGGCTGGTTTTTGCCGTGCTGGGTTTTGACACAAGACCCCCGAGGCCCTCTGAGACCCCTTTGCTCCCTCTGGCAGGGATGTGCCCAGCTCTAAGAGCCCTCCAGCACTCCGGGTGATGACAGGGGTTGCAACCGACTCTGAACCACTTGGGTGTCTCCCTGACCAGGGTTCCTGTGCCATGGCATGCCTGTACTGTGCCATGCCCATGCCGTGCCTGTGCCCATGGCTCGTGGTCCGAGCCCCTCTGGCTTTGTCCTAGCTGCCTGTTGTGCTCTGCCTGTGGCCGTGCCGGCTCGGGGGGTTCCCAGTGCAGCAGCTGTGGGTGGGCTCCACGTTGCCTGGGAGCAGGAGGAGCCGGGCTGGCGGAGGCCGTGGGCTGAGTGAGTCACTGGCCGTGGCTCCGGCCGCGCTCCAGGCACAGATCCCGCCGCGCTCCCACCAGACGCGGCCGGACGCCGAGCAGGGCGGGGGGGCGCCGAGGCCGGGACGCGCGATGGGCTTTGCACTCTGCTGTGGGTGCTGCTGCGGGCCAGGAACAGGTGACCTGCGGGCCGGGGGGTCGGAAGGCGGTGTTTCCACCTTGGCGTCCCCCAGAACCCCCTTCCCTGTCGCAGACGCCTTCCCGGCACAGCTCGGTCCGGCCCGGCGTGTGCCGGGGGTCTCATCTGGCCTCGGGGCAGGGATGGTAGGATGCGGCATGGGGCGCACGGGGTCCCTGCTGCTCGGGGGTTGTTGGTGCTGTGGGGATCCACTGGAAAACACACTGAGGGCTCCCCTCGGCACAGGGACCCTTTGTAGGGCCTATGGGGAGAGGAAGCCGGAAGGGATGGGTGCTGAAGTGAGGTTTGGGTGCTGGGGGGCATGAGCTGCCCCCACCCCCCGGGAGCTCTGTGTGTGGGTAGGGGGTCGGGATGTGGGTGCTGGAGACGTCGGGGTGCCCCGTGTCTGCAGTACTGGGTGGTCCTGGGGGCACGGGGCAGAAGGGTGCAGGCGGGGGCGCAGGGTTCCAGCACCGGGGGCCCGAGTG